CGTCTGGTTAGCAGGCAAGTGTCTTAGCCACTATGCTACCAGAGCTCCCTTAGGAGAGATAGATGGTAATATTAGAGGCACAGGGCTCAACAATTATTATTTACGAAAAGGGTAATAAAACATGTAGGGAAGTATTAGCAATGGGTGAATCTATTGCAAAGGATTGTGAGAGGTGATTATATTTTTTTATAAATTTTTTTTCTTAAACAGCTAAAACTATATCAATTTTCTTCAGGAATTAACCAGGAAGGATCTTCACTATTTTTCATTTCAGAGACAACTGCAGAGTAAGGCATGTTCTTGATGGCTTAAATGTCAAAAAAAGGAAAAGTTAATTTTAAGAAGTTTCCATCCTCAATGTTTTTACGAGTGTATTTGTATGTTCTGTAAGAACTCCCAGGTGTATAGTAGAGCTGACAAGGGACAAGGTTGTAGTCACTTCTCGGGCACCGCCAGCTACCCAGAGGAAGCAAGTAGTTAAACCTGTGGGCTCAGCACCATAGTCGCAGGGGACATCAATCTCAATTGGCATAACATAATACACAAAACATTTTTCTACCTCCTACTTTGGTGAGTAGTGACTAGGATCTTAAAAGCTTGCAAGGAGCAAGCTAGATGCTTGATGGGTGGGTCTCTTCTCGTCCAGAGCAAAGAAGAATGAAGAAAACTAAAGATTCATGAAAACAATTAGTCCAAGCGACTGGTATACCATGCAATCCTCAGTCTATACGGCTATGAGACCAGAAGAACTAGATGGTACCTGGCTATCACTGTCAAACACTCAGAGGCAGACCAATGTAGGAGATCCTGGATAGAGTGGGAGAACAATGTGAAAAAAACTCAAAATCATTTGGAGAAAAAAAAAAAGGACCAGGTTTGATGGTCTGATAGAGCCTGGTGGAACCACTGAGACTATGGCCCCTAGCTGCCCTTCAGGTCTGGAACAGAACCCACACCTGTGGCTTCTAGCCAAATAAAAGACAGGCATATGAGGTCAACATTTACACTAGGTAGATACACTCCTTGGAGAAAACAATCATGGGAGAATAGATGGGCTGCATATGCACAGGGAAGTAGTTCAGGGGGCAGGAAAGCATGGAGTGAAGGACACAGGGAAGAGGTAACTATGGGGAGGAAGTGGGAGTGGAGCTGCTGCATTATGGTAAATTGTAGTCAATGTCATGATACAAAGTATATGTGAACTGCTGTATGGAAAGTGAGTTTGCTCTGTAAACTTTCACCCAAATCACAATTTTTTAAAAAAAGACACTTCTATCCTATCAACAGCAGTAACTAACAGATTGATCTCTCCCTCCTTCCCAAAACACTTGATTCATTTAAGTTTCTAGAGGACAACACAATCTTTTTATTTTCTTTTTACCTAAATGAGTGCTCCTTCTTGGACATTTCTACAGGAAATTTCTCATTTCCTTGACCCTAAAACCCAAAGGTCTCCTGAGCTAGGTCTTTCAACAAAGATATCTTCTTTTCTCTAGCTATATTAGTGATCCTTGGTGATTTCTGCTAATCATATGGCTTTAAAAAATAAATCTATACTCTGAGGCTCACAAATTTAGATATGTAACCTAGACTTCTTCACAGAATTCAACTCTCACAAATCCAACTGCCTACCTGACATCATGACTTAGATGTCTAAGTATCTTCTCAATCAAAGCATGTTGAAAATTGAATTGCTGATATACTCTTCTAAAAGTGCTCTACCACCCACAACCAAAACAGTTTTCCCTATCTCAGTAAATGGTAAATTCTTTCAGGCGCTCAGGCCCAAAACTTTGGAATTATCCTCGATTCATTTCTCTCCCCTCTCACGTAACACCCACCAACAAATACTCTTTGCTTACCTTCAAAGTGTATCTGGAATCTAACCACTTCTTACTATTTGCACAGGTATCAGCCTGATCTAAACTACCATCATTTCTTGTCTGCAATATTACATTGTTGTTGTTGTTGTTGTTATGTGCCGTCAAGTCAAACCCGACTCATAGCGACCCCTCCTTGGGTTTCCGAGGCAGTATCACTACGGAAGTAG